ACAATCAGAACATATTCAATAAGTTTTAACATTTTCTACTTTCTACTTACCACACCGCCAACCCATTCCGTAGGCTTCAACGTTGCAACGTCGTATACAGTAGCGAATTGATTTCCCATTGAGATTACAGAATATCTGTATGAATCATTAGGATTAATATGTTGTCATGAAATATTTAAATATCACTCACAAAACAATATATTTCACTTACCCCGATTCTAACTCGCTATTCCATAAATAATCACAAATTGCAGCTTCGATGTCATCAATTCCGCTTGGAATATCCGCTTTTTCAACCTACAATTTTGCATACAAATTTTTGTCACAACAACATAATAAAAATCAAATTAAGTATTCTTTTATTAAACTTTCCTTCTGCTTCTTCTTCTGGGGTACAGGACATTCCGAATCCAAACTGCTGCTATAACACTCTCCGGTGTATAATGACATCGACTTCCTTCCTCCTCATTTCTTCCATCTCTTCTTCTTCCTCCTCCCTCTTTTCTTCTTCATATTTTTTCAGTTCATCGTACTTTTTTTCTACATAGCTCTTCATCTCTTTTATTTCACCCTTCAATTGAGCTCCTTCATCCGAGTATTTATCAACCACCCCCTTCACCCCCGTGAGTTCACTCCTCAAATCCACAACCTCCTTCACCACTCCCTCAAATTTTTCTCCCGTCACCATCTTAATATCACCCCTTAACACCCCAACTTCTTTCACCACTTCACCCCTCAACACCTCTACTTCATTCACCACTCCATCTATTTTTCCTTCCACTACCCCCTCAGCATCTCGAGTGTATCTTCGACTCTCTCGAGTTTCTCTACGACTTGATCAAGTTTCTCTTCGACTCTTGATTGTCTTTGCATGATTTCAAATTGGATTTTTTTGATATCAGCCAATTCAGACATCAAAATGTCGAAGTTACTCTGTTTGCTTCACCGTCGTCCCACTCACCGTCATCCCCCAATACAACCATCCCTCCTTTCTTCTCCTCTGCCTCCACTGCCTCCTCTACATCCTTGCCAATAACCTTCAAAATTAAATTACAATATTAAGACATTGATTATATTCTTAATATTATTTAATTACATTTATTACCATTTCTTGCTTCTTCCCTCTATCCAACTTCAACTTCACCATCACTCTAACCACCTCTTCCTTCCCCCATGCACGGATGCGTGCCACTCCGGTTCTTTCATAAGCCGGCACTGCCTCACAGCCCGACCAAAAATCGAACAGTGCAACCTGCATTTATAATAAAATTTATATTTTTATATAAAAACACAAAAAAGTGATTCAACTCATTTACCTCTAAGATTGCTATGCACCCTTTGAGGTATCTCTGGCTGCCCTTTTTAAAGGTGATTATTGATTCAATCAATCTCGAATGGATATATTCAGCCCAATTGAATTCACCCTTCAAGCCTTCATCGCAAATGAGCTTCATATATTCCTTGTTCGTTGACGTATCACCCGTTGGACAAAGAAATATCCCGACAAGGTACAATAGAACTCGGGCCTTCAGCTCATCCCCCCAGTAAGATCCACTTTTGATATCCTCTTCAACTTCAGCATATGTCACCTTATGATTCAAACCATATTTGGAGGCAAGTGCTTTCCAGTTCTTACTCCTACAGACTTCTATAACACTTTTGCCTTTGTTTTGTACCCCCAATACGGCTGCAGCAGTCGATACCCCCAGAGGGAATGAATAATCACCATACTTATCCATACATTGACTGACGTCAAATTGTGCCATCAAGGATCGACACAATTCCCTCCGAATAGGTCGATCCCTTACTCCGATCAACGATCCAAAACCTATTTCTCCCAGCACATTCAACTGATCCTTCTCCTTAAGGTGTTTAATTAATAAATTCACCCTTTTAATGCTGCATCTTGTCGACACTTCCTACATTTTTTAACAATATAATGTTATAGTTCTTATATATTTTGTATCAACGTATTTACAAGTTTAATGAATACCTTATTTTCTAGTGTTTTCCTCCGTTCTTTGTACTCTTTACTATCATTCCTTGACTGTGTGATGTAAGGTTCCTTTTCAGCATCACTCATTGAATTCCATTTGGACCTCACATCTTTTTTCACCTAATATTAAACATAAACGTTTCTTAATCAATACATTAACACTAAATACTAATACTACTCAATGTCAATTTCATTTTACATACCGAACCGCTCTGTGTGCCATCTCCCTTCATCCTTTTGCATTCGGCCATACTGTTAACATTTAAAATTTGTAATCAATTTAAAGTTTATCGATACTTTAATCCAATTACCATTTCAACAATAATAACAAAAGGACATTGATACTTACTAGAAGTACATATATCCACCCTTTGGTTGCTTTCGAGTCTCGGCCTCAATTTCAAAGTCATCTGCTCCACCAACAATTTTCCAACCCATTGACTCCATTTTTCCTTCATATATCAGTTTACGCAAATCAAATTATTTCGTTACATACACTTTATTCAATATACAAATATAGATAACTACTCTTGTGGTAAAACGGTTTTCTTCAAAAGAATTTGAATGGCCACACCAAAATGTGTCGGCACATTTATACAACCTATAATATCATTTTCTACCTATAATATTTAATAAAAGTATCGACATTTATATTTTTCCTTGAATATCTATTTCTACCTGCAATCGGTCCCAAATGCTTCCTTACTCCAAAACCCCAAACAACACATAAAAAACCCTATCGCGATTACTGTAATAATAAATAATTAGGGTTTCGACAACATACTTTTCGATTCGACTGCAGCAACAAACAAACAAACTTCGCTTTAGAAACGCCTTCTGAAATACAGCAACAATTACTCTTCGATTTCAAAAACTCGTCCGTTCTATCTTTTTTCAGAGGATATTTAGCTATGGCCTTTATATTTTCATCGGATATGTTATTTATATTTAATCGATACAAATATAAAAGTGTCGATACTTTTATGTCAGGTGTCGATACTTTCGAAAGGATAATTATCTATTTCTTTGAAAGTGTCGATAATTTATTACACGTACTTACGAAAGTATCGACACTTTCAATATATCCGGTATCATTTTACCGGTTTTATCATTTTGATACCGGTTTTATCATATTTTTACCTGTTATATCGTTGTGGATCGATATTTTTTTAAAGTATCGACACATTATAGGCGCTATAACTGCTTCTCTTTTAAATTCACAAAGTGTCGATCCTTATATAACGTATCGACACTTTTAAATTTACCGGTTTTATCATTTTGTTACCGGTTTTATCATATTTTTACCTGGTATATCGTTTTGGATCGATATATTTTTTAAAAGTATCGACACTTTTTAGGATTTAAAACTGCTTTTAAAGTTATGTAATTTATGTTTCAATTTATTTAATAGTGTTTCATGTTTTCCACCTACAATATTAATTTAATAATTTCATTTACACAAAAAATTATTTGATTGTTTTGATATTTTATAAAATATTATTTAGATTTTAAATTTAACAATATTAACTAAAGATAATAATAAATATATTTTCACAGTGAAATAAGTATGTACACTTTTATAAAAAGGATAGATAATTTACAATATAACAGGTAAAAATATGACAAAACCAGATTCATTATGACAAAACCGGTAAAATTTACTTGATATGTTAAAAGTATGGACACTTTTATAAAAATGATAGATACTTACCGATAACCAAAGTTTACCGGTTACCAAATTTTTTAATAGTTTTTCATATTTTCTACCTAAAACATTATTAGTTGTCAACATAATAGGTACCGCTAAACCGAATTTATTAAATACATTTTAATGTGTCCGGTAATACTATATATATTAGCCGTATATTAACCCGCCTTTCCTGAGACATTCCCAGAATCCCATTTCCCATGTCTTTTCCTTTGATTTCAATTCAAAATTTCATGATGTAGCATATTTTATACTTTTCTTCCTTCAAATTAAATAAATTATGGGTAAATTCTATATTTAATACTTCAATTATCAATTTCTTTTCGTTTTAGTTTTCTAACTTTTTTTTTTAAATCATATGTAATATTATGTTTTGTTTTTATTTTTGTCGACCATCATTAAAAATTTAAGAGAATTTGTTGATGTGATATTTTATATTTTTAAAGATGACATGGCATTATCTTATGTTGACACATCAATATCATCGTTAATTTTTAACGACAAATGATAAAAATAAAACCAAAACTAAACATTAAATATGATTTTTAAAAAAATGTTGGATGGCTATTACATAACAAAAATGATAATTAGAGTATTTTTCAGATAATTAGAGTATTAATATATAGTTTACTCTAAATTAATTTATTATATGTATCAAATTGTTTATATATGTTTGGGTAAACTACTCAAATGACCAATTACCTATGGGGTAAGTGTCGATATAACTACCATACTTTCAATTTTTGCAACATGATCACATAATTATTTAAATGGTTTCAGTGTAGTCATTTATTGTTAAAAACAGACGATTTAACTTATGTGATTGTTATTAACTAATGGCAAATCAAAGGTCCACATCAGTTCAACCGTCTATTTTTAATATTGAAACCACTTAAATAATTATTTGGTTAGAGGCAGAACTAGGAATTTATTATAGCGGAGGTCAAAATATTTTTTATTTTTTGTAAATATAATTCTTTTTAATTTAGAGGTCTTATAAATTTTTTATTTATTTATTTATCTAATATATATATTTAATATTAATTAATATTTAGAAAAATAATTGATGGAGGCTAAAACTCCCCTTAATCCCACGAAGTTCTGTCACTGTATATAGTCATATTACCAAAATTGAACGTATGATAATCATACCACGTAAATCTCATAGTTAAATGGTCCGTTTGAATAGTTTACCCTATATTTTTTTGTCATAATAACTTCTTCCTCTCTTACTATTTTACGCGTTTCCTTCCCACACTTTTGAATAATTCTATAAATTTTCTCTTCATTTCTCAGTCTATGCCTCTCGATTTGATCGCTTCTTTCTTCCTATCTTTCTTCCATTTTGGTTGGGAGAGGGGATTAAGAAATGAAGAAATCAAAATTGTCGAAGCTAGACAGATTCGACACCTTCTTTTCCTTGGCAAAACAACGATCCGTTCAGATTCTGTTCGCCGTTGGTTTCATGTACTTAGTTTTGGTTACTCTGGAGATCCCTTTCGTCTTCCGAACGGGGTTCAGTACTTTGTCTCAAGAACCCTTAACTCGGCTTCCCAGACTCGCCAGCGAGGTCGATATTCAAGAAAACGAGGCACCGACTCGTCCACTGAGTTCGGTTTCCAGAAACGCGTCCTCCCCCACTCGGCTCCAACACCAGAAACAACTAAGAAATCAGTCTGGGATCGTTTCCAATTTGTCTTTCGATGCTAAATCCTTTGAACAAAGTGCGAAAGACGGGTCGTCAGAGCTCCATAAGTCAGCAAAGCTTGCTTGGGAAGCTGGGAGAAAGCTCTGGGAAGAACTCGAATCAGGGATGGTCAAAATTGACTCAGTAAACAGACTCAAAAAACCCAAGAATGAATCGGAACTGTGTAGGCCTTCGGTTTCTTTATCTGAATCGGAGTTTTTGGCCCATGGGCAGGTCATGGTGCTTCCCTGCGGGCTTACTTTGGGGTCTCACATAACGGTGGTGGGGAAACCAAAAGCAGCACACGCGGAGACAAATCCGAGGATTGCGTTGCTGAAGGATGGGGAAGATTCCGTTATGGTTTCGCAGTTTCTGATGGAGTTGCAGGGGTTGAAGACGGTGGATGGGGAGGACCCACCGCGGATTCTTCATTTTAATCCGAGGTTGAAAGGGGATTGGAGTAGGAAGCCGGTGATCGAGCAGAACACTTGTTACAGGATGCAGTGGGGGACTCCCATGCGTTGTGAAGGGTGGAGGTCCAAGGCTGATGATGAGACTGGTAAGTGTGCTGCCTTTTTTTTATTGAATATGTGAAAAAAATGATGTAATTAGCGTTGCGGATTCTTGTATGCGACCTACTGAAAACTATATTGATGGTGCATATTAATTTGAGTTGGATTGTTTCATGTCTTCAAAAGTTTTTTGTTGAATTTCCATAAGAACATTTGAATTAACTTGTTGATAGTTTGTAGTCAACTTTAACTAAGATATAAGTGTGTTTCTAGTTGATTTTTTTGAATTGTTGCGGGTGGTCTTCTTTATTTTGATCATTTATAAGTTTGCCCTTGGTATAAAATCCCGCATCCGTCATGTGTTTTAGGATACAAATTTTATTATTTTTGGTGAATTTTTTCATCTGCATTCCATGGAAAAAAGAGAATAAGAAAGTTTTCTTCTCTCATTTGGTAAGTTCCCATAGCATAGGTCTCCCTATCTTTTCTTCCTCTTCCCTTTGTAATCCTTGCTTTGCCACCGTTTGAAAGACAACAAAATTCCAATAAGCTGTTTTGAATTGTTGACAATGGTATTCTTTATTTTGAACTTTGATTCTCATGCTCAGAAAAATGTCTACTCTGCAGTTGATGGTCAGGCCAAGTGTGAGAAGTGGATACGGGACGATAATGATCGCTCTGAGGAATCTAATGCAACATGGTGGTTGAAAAGGTTAATAGGTCGAACAAAAAAGGTGACTGTTGACTGGCCATTCCCATTTACAGAGGGCAAGCTTTTTGTACTGACTCTTCGTGCTGGTTTGGAGGGATACCATGTTAATGCCGATGGGAGGCATATTACATCTTTTCCATATCGGACTGTAAGTTACATGAAGCTATCTGAATATTATTATCATGTTGTATCTTGCTTCGTTTTTTACATGATTTGATCTTGTTGACAGGGGTATACCGTTGAAGATGCCACTGGACTAACTTTGAAAGGAGACATCTATGTCCACTCTATATTTGCAGCATCTTTGCCTACATCACATCCTAGTTTTGCTCCTCAAAGGCATCTCGAAATGTCCAACAGATGGAAGGCTTCACCGCTTTCCGAGCGACCTGTGGATCTGTTTATCGGCGTACTTTCCGCAGGCAATCATTTTGTAGAGCGAATGGCCGTAAGGAAGTCTTGGATGCAGCATAAACTTGTTAAATCTTCAAATGTAGTTTCTCGTTTCTTTGTGGCGATGGTAAGTTAAGACTATCTTAGACTTAAGGTTCCATAGTTACGCAATTCAAGTTTTGGTTTTTAACCACAATCTCCATGTTTGGGATAGCATGCTAGAAATGAAGTGAATGTAGAACTGAAGAGAGAAGCAGATTTCTTTGGAGATATTGTCCTTGTGCCATATATGGATAACTATGACCTTGTGGTGTTGAAAACTATTGCCATCTGTGAACATGGGGTGAGTAATTTTTTTGGGTAAACTACACGTTTAGTACTTAAACTATTACTTTTGTTCTGTTTTGATATCCAAATTTTATTTTTTCCCAAAAAACATTTCTAACGTCTAGTTTATGTTTCAATTTGGTATCTGCCTTTAAAAAATTAACAAAACTATTGATGTGGCAATTTTTTTTTCAATGATGACATGACATTATCTTATGGTGATATGTCAACTTCACTATCGAGCTTTTAATGACGAGTACGAAAATGAAACTTAAACAAAACGTTAGGAATGAATTTGAAAATAAAAATAAAAATTTGAGTTTAAAAACGGAACAAAAGTAATAGTTTAGGTACTAAACATTTAGTTTATCATTTGTTTTCTAAGTTGGAAGAAATGAAAGTTATTTTAGTTTGTGGAGATTGATTATAGGGGTTGTTTGAAACAGGGTCGTGTAGTGGGTGCCAAGTATATAATGAAGTGTGACGATGACACATTTGTGAGAGTCGATGCAGTGATTAATGAAGCAAAGAAAGTAAATGAGGATCGCAGTTTCTATATCGGAAACATCAACTATTACCACAAGCCCTTACGCTCCGGTAAATGGGCAGTAACATACGAGGTACGCATTGTTTCTTGCTATTGTTTATTTCACTTCTTTAGTTGAAGCATGATATAATATGAATCATGATGATTTGGGTTGCAATAATTAGGGGCGTAAATGAATCGAACTTGAACGAATAAAGTTGTGTTCGTGTTCGCTCGTTTAGTGTTTGTTATAATGAATCATGTTCGTTTAATGTCCGCGATCATGTTCATTTAACGTTCGTGATCATGTACTTTTAATGTTAGGCAACTAACACTATTTTTTCTCTTTTATTTGCAAGCCAAAAGAAAATGGTGAAATTATGCTAGTAGTCCTTAAGTTTCTTAGGCTTAACAGTTTGAACTCTAAGGATCATCTTATGTTCAATTTAATCACTATCTTCATCAATATTTAAAATGTAAAAAAAAAGAAAAGAAAAGAATATAAATTAGTCAATAAACGAATTGATAAACAAGTCAATAAACAAACTTGTTCGTGAACATAAATGAACCGAATATATTTTTGTTCATATTCGTTTGTTTATTAAATGAATATAAAAAAATGTTTTACACACATACGAACATTATACAAATTGTTCACTAGTAGTTCGTCAAACGCTCTATTCATTTAGATCCATAAAAATAATGTCAATGTGATTGATGTAATTCAGGAGTGGGAGGAGGAAGCTTATCCGCCATATGCAAATGGACCAGGCTACATATTGTCATCCGACATCTCTCACTTCATCGTCTCCGAATTTGAAAAGCACAATTTAAGAGTAAGTTTTGTAATTCGTCGAATGTTATGTTCATTTGCATGGTGTAAGTATAATATTTGATAAGAAAAATTTTCAAAATGGGAAAATGTGCAGTTGTTCAAGATGGAAGATGTGAGTATGGGGATGTGGGTGGAGAAATTCAACAGAACAAAAGAGGTGGAATATGTACACAGCCTCAAGTTCTGCCAATTCGGATGCATAGAAGATTACTATACAGCTCATTACCAGTCCCCAAGACAGATGATTTGCATGTGGGACAAGTTGCTAAAACAGACAACTCCTCAATGTTGTAACATGAGATAACATCCAATGTATACTCTTTTTTTTTTTTTTTGGTAAATGCATCTCATTACCAGTCCCCAAGACAGATGATTTGCATGTGGGACAAGTTGCTAAAACAGACAACTCCTCAATGTTGCTAAAACAGACAAGTTGCTTAATTCAACTTTGTTCTTTTCTTTTCTTTTTCATGTCCCTGTTTTTCAGTTTCACCTTTGAATTTATCTGTCTAGCTGCAAAATAAACATATTTATATTTGATGTATACATTATATGAAGTAATTTGACTCAATAAAGACTAATTTTTTTCACCGTGGTAAAAAAAGTTTTTTTTAATAATTTATAAATATATTATTCTTAAAATTTATACAACAATTTCTTAATTTAAGCTGTACAAAATCATGGGTAAATTACACGGACCATCACTGTACTTTGCTTTATTTCCTATTTCACTCACTGTACTTTAAATCCATTCAATTTTATCACTTAGTTTTATATATTTAGCTTTTTTGGTCACTCGATCGTTCCCCCACTGATGGCGTTATGACAAGGAATTTTTTAATATTATTTCTAAATACTTTTTCCAAGTCAGAAAAAAGGTTAAAACAAGAGGATAAATGTTTTTAACTCTAATTAACCTAGCATAATACTTTCTTTCCCCCCCCCCCAAAGTTCTTCGCAAATTCAAACACAAATTTGGGGGATTAAGACTGGGTTATCAAGATCAATTTAGGGTTAGTGACAGATCGATTTAGGATTTTTCACAAATAACCTCCGTATTAAGCGTTTTGTTGGAAACTGAAATTTGGTTTATCTTTGAAGCGGTAATCTAGGGTTGTGTTCGAAATCAAAACTTAGTGTGGGCTCAAAATCATGGGTTCTCCTGTGCTATGAACGACGGGTATGGGAAGCATATCATATGGTGAGTGTCACTGATTTATTTATTTCTTCAAACTTACATATTCTATTATGGTTGAAAGTGTTTAGATTTTTTTATTTTTTTAATGTGTTTAGTATTTTGGTCAAAGTTGCAAAATTTTTCAAAATTTTCTGAAGTAACTTGGGCTAATAACATTAAATGTTTATTGCATATATTTATTGCATATTTTATAGTGTGTATTTATTTCTTTCTTTGAAGTTGTATATTGATTACCTTTGTTGACTGTTAGTGAGGACCACATGTTTATTACATTTGTTTATTACGTATATTGCATATAAGTTGTGTTAGTGAGAACTACATGTGTACAATTTAGGGAACAGAAAAGTATTGTGTTAGTGAGGACCACATGTGCATACACTATTAGTGTCTTTTTGTAGTACCCAAATTTTGGTTAGTTACTAAAACATTTTAAATGTTTAGTGGCCAAAGTATAAAGTTTTAAAAGTTTAGGGATCAAATTGATAATTTTCAAAAGTTAGGGAACAAAAGTTTAATTTTTAAAATTTATGTATTTGGCCCCGTTAATGAATAGTTCACCCCAAGAATGATGTTTTGGTGGGAATTAAATTCTTGATCTGGAAATTGTGTTAAAAGTTAGAAAGTGTTAAAGTCCAATAAAAATTAGGTAAATCAGATCGAATATGAATTTTGAGATAATTTGAAGGACATTAAATTAAGCTTATGATTAATATTTCCAAATTTTAAAATGATGGAAAATAATATGAATATTTGGATTTGAGAATTTATTTACATGTTCAATTTGGACCGTTGGATGAAAATGACAAGATTACATTTTTTGGAAAAATGCATGGGCAAAGTTGTAAAGGGAGTAATAATTTGTTCATCTTTGACTTTGGAAAGATGATAAGTAACATGTGGCTTGGTATGGATGTAATTATCAAGTTTCATTAGTGATAAAATTGTCATTTCCCATTAAATGAATGACAGATGCACATGAAATTAATTAGAAATTTCATGAAAATAAGGCCTTTTTCAACCTCTATTCTGTGCTCCCCATAAACCCTAGGTAAGAGAAATTTTATTTTTCATTTTTGAGCAATTTCCTTTGGTTTTTGGATTAAAGCGTGAAATAGAAAATTGTTCTATTCGAAGAGCTCTATCATTTAGTATCATTACTGCATGCTAATATTGCTTGAATGCTAAGTTCCCAAAATTTAGGGTTTATGTTCATGTTAGGGTTTTATGATTTGATGATGGATTTTGTGGTTATTGAGATTGTAGAATCATTGCCAAGCTTGTTTGATGATCAAAACCACCTTGAAAGGTTATTATGATTTTTGGCCTAAACCCTAAATTAGGGGAAGTTTGTGATTTGATGAAATTGAATTAGAGGTTTGATTGTATGGGTTTTAAAATGTTGAATAGAGGTTGCTTTCATGCTCAAATTAAACTGAAATCAAGTGAAATCATGAAACCCTACCCCCTTAACATTCAGCCTAAGATTTTGGAAGTGAAAAAATTATGAAAAAAATTATGTAGGGGTTGGGAATGATGTAGGAAAGATTCTACAAGCCTTAGAAAAATTTTGGGACCAATATATAATTTTGTGAAAGTTGGGGGACCTATTTGATAATTTTGAAAAATTACGAGATTGATGTTACTTATTCAATGGTTGTTTTACCATGCTGGAAATTAATGTTAGAGTGATGAATTTGATGGTAGAATGTGAAATTTGAATATTTTGGGAAGTTGTCAAAGTTTGAGTAATAAATGGCAAATATCGAGGAAGTTAGTCACTTAAGTGGTAATAATGAAATTTTAAGGTATTGGGCTGGATATTAGATGATGGAAATTTAATTAAGTTGTTTGAGACTTGAATTGAAGTAAAAGGGCAAAGGACTATTTAGAATAAAATGGAAAAGTTGAGATGAATTATAAAAGAATTCATAATTAGTAGTTAAAATGGAAAGTTGAAAAAGGTTATGTGAAGTTTGGGTGAATTTGGATAAAAAGGGACTTGAATGGTCAACTTGAAGTGTTAAGGTTAACATTTATGTTGTGATATGGAATTAGTATCGAATAAGCATCAAAAGAATTTTAGGATTTTATTTTCTATTTTGTGCCTATGTTAGTGAGATTCTAACATGTGGTTTGAAATGTGTATGTTTTGTAAATGATGTTGATTTAGATTGTGTGCTTGAAATCAATATCAAGCAATGTTAAACCTAAAGAGAGCTTAAGGATGAAATGTGGATTTTTAAGGAAGTTTTACAAGCTAAGGACACCACGTGAGTGCATATTTAATTGTATTTATGTTATCGTACAAACATTGGCTTGCAATGAGCCAGTGATGGAGTTATTATGGTAAGAAGTGACTCCTTAATATTATGAAATTTTGTGATTCATGCCTATAAGTTAATTTGGTATGCTAATAGAATTAGTGCATAAGCTAAAAATACAAGTTAGTAAAATCCTCTCAGATTTGGGTTCTAAACAATAAGTTTAAAAAATCATCATAAATTCTAAAGAAATTAATAGAGGATTATTTTTATACTATTGGATCCATATATCAGTCTAGTTTTTTTTTAACAAACGTATGTTGATTTTGAGAAGTATATACAAATATATGAATTTTTAATCGAAGCTAGGTCAGAAAATAGGGCATTAGATTCTGCTCAAAACAACTTATGTAAGTCAACTTCGAAAATTCACTATAAATTGTATAAGTTGAACTAGAAGAAGTTCCTTATATGGTTATATTCGTATTCCAATTTAGTTTTTATTGATATGAACAAAATAATTTTTATGTTTCTATATTAATACATAATAATATTTCTTTGAAGGTAACGTAAACTGCCATAATATGAAATAAAATGAGAATGTGGTAAATTATATATTTTATGATACCTTATGATATATGTTATCTTAGAATGTTTGAAATAAGTTAATTTTATTACATTGTCATGATAAATTATGATATTTATTATACAAGGAAATACAATATTTATATGTTTAAAAGAGAAAGTAAAAATAAGTAAGTGCAGTTATTTATTTAATTATTCTGATCACAAACAACTTGTGATAAGTCAACCTCATATTATTTTAAAGTATGTTTTTATTTTTGTTATAGATTATTTCCATAATAACACTATAAAATTTTATGAATGATTTAGAGTATGAACTGCCCATTATGTTATGATATAAAAAGTTGGATATGTTGAGATATTGATATATTTGATAACTAAATAACATATAATAATTAATGGAAAAGCCCATTGTATGTTGCATTGAGAGCCGTAGGTACAATTGGCATTCCATGAAGTTGAGTAAAGTTCAAGTTAAGTCAAGTTATGGTACATTCGTGTACATTACGTATGGCACTGTTGGTACATATGACATGTTTTGCACTTGGAGTGCATCTTATGATGATGATTGGCACCGTGCAGTGCCTAGTGTGCACATTATGTATGACTCACATACCTTGCATTCTCATAAATACGCATTGGGCTATGAACTTGAAATTAAGCTATGAATTTAAAAACAAGTTATGAATCTAATAATGAATTTTGAACTGTGAAAGTATTGATTATGAAAATGAAATATGAAAAGGAATGTGAAAGTGAATGATGAAAATAAAATATGAAAGTTCTGAAATATATATGAATGAAAAAGAATATGATATGATTGTTATGTATGATATTGTATATCTTGTTCTTGACAAGATCATGAGATGATGATTTTCAGGTTTCTGATGAAGAAAAATAGTTCGAATAAATTGGTTTGGATATTTAATGATTTTATTTGAATTTAAGTTAATGTTTTAAATTGTTATGATATTATTAAGTTTTATATAAGAGAATATGTTGTTTAGATGTTGTTAAGTTGTTTAATATTTATATCATTTTAGTGTGTTTATAATGTCTCTCTAAGTGTATACTTAGCGTGTTATGATTTTCACGCGTAGGTAAAGAATAGCAAACGAAGTAAGGAGTTGAGTTTGGCATCAATCAACAAAGATTAATTACAGGTATCAGTAATGACATCCTACTATTTTAAATTATTCTCGATGACATGTATACGAATAAGAAATGTCTAAGATATGTTATTATGGATATAAGTATGAATATATGTTTTATGTTTTGGGTAAAAATAATATTTTACGAGAATAAAGAAATATTTTTAAATTAGGCAGTTACTAGGCAATTTATTGTATGATAAGAAACAATATAGAACTGTCTAGTTACTACCTGAAACTGATATTGATTTGGATGCTTAAATATTATAATATGATCTTACATGATTATATTATTTATTTAAAAGAATTAAATTGGACAAATTTTAAAAGTTCAAAATTGGTACTAATTTTTCAACCATAGAATGTATATAAAGCTATGTGACATCTTTGACTTGTATTTGGGTACGTATACGGGTTAAGGGTGTTACACTTTTAGTGAAGGGGACCACTTGGTTTATATTGGACAATGTGTGTTGGACTTGATGAACCATTTGATTATGTGTTTGGTGACTGTTTATAAATTTAAGATTATGTTTTCTTCTTTATTTCACAAGCATAGATTCAAAATACTACACAATAATAATTCATCATGTAGGGTATATTGTAAATCATCCCACAATGAGTTATACTGGTAAACAAATATCATTCTTTGGTATGTGTCACATTGATTCTATGTCAATGCTTAGTTTATAGGATATGATTAAAGAATTGGGATATCATAGTGCACAAGAAATGTATTTTCAACTAACAGGGGGTGCATTAAATATTAGTCCATTGAAAAGTGATAGTGATGTGGTCAGTATGTTAGGTTTTTTACCTAATAATAAGCATTTTCATGTTTACACACAAGAAGTTGTGGAAACCAATATTGTTGAACATACTGAAACCAATGTTGTTGAACATACTAAAACCAATCCTGAAAATGTTACTATTAAAAATGATTATTCTGAGAGTGAGGATGAATTTTCATATTATGTAGCTCTGAAAGTAAAGATTATGACAGTAATTTTGAGGATAGTGATAATGACTTGGTTGATGGTGAGGATGAAGTTTGTGATGTACCTGTGGGAGTTGATATACCTTGATTAAGTGTATGGGGTAAAGGTGATGCCATAGATAGTAAATATGGGAGTGAGGGTTCAGAATCATTGCACAGTGCAACTGATTATGAAACAGTGTCACGGAGGAAGAGATGTTATGAGTTCAACACTAAAGTTGACTTAGAAAATCCAAATTTTAAGAAAGGCTTGTTATTTCCTATCCAAAAAATCATTAAAGCAGTAGTGAGACAGTATGGAGTGAAAAATAGGTATAATGTGAAGCTTAAGGTTAATGATTCTAGAAGATTTCAAGTTGTGTGTAAGGAGGGATACCCATGGATGGTTTGGGCATCAAGAGTGAATCCCAATGATGAGAATGACACAACTTGGCAGATTAAGACATATATTGGAGAGCATAATTGTATTATAGATGTGAAGAATATTAATTGTACCTATAGGTGGTTGGCTAAGGAATACTTAAGAGAAATTTAGAGTTGACTCCAACTACTCGGTTAACTCCCTAAGGAAAGATGTGAAAAATGATTACATATTTGATGTACAAATGTTGAAATGTAGTAGGGCTAAGAAACGTGCTCTGTCAATGATCAATGGGAATGAAAATGACCAATATTCAATGATTTATGACTACTTTGTTGAACTGGGAAGAACAAATCCCAAGACAACAACTATATGTCATTTAGATAATAGGTTATTTGTTAGAATATATATTTGTCTCCAAGCCTACAAGGAAGGCTTCAAGGTTGGTTGTAGACCAATCATTAGTCTTGATGGGTTTTCTCTAAAAGGTAGTCATCAAGGTTATCTTTTGACATCAATTGGGATGGATGCAAATGATTTCATATATCCCTTGGCTTATACTATTGTTGAGAGTGAAATCCATTCTTCTTGGTCTTGGTTTTTACAAATACTTGAAGAAGACTTGAAGCTGATAAATTCCTACCATTATACATTCATGTCAGACAAACAGAAGGTAAAATACCTTTATTAAATTATACTTTATGTTTATATGTTAGTACTGATTAATTAATTATTTGGTACATGGTTTAATAGAGGCAATTGCAGAATTGCTTCCCATTGTTGAGCATAGGACTTGTGTTAGGCATCTGTATTCAAACTTCAAGTCTAAAAAACGAAATCAGGAAAGGCAATGAAAAATGTTTTAGGAAGGATGCAAGGGAAACATACATGAAACAATTCACTGATGCAATGAATGAAATGAGATCACTGTCAGGAGATGTATTTTATTGGATGAAAAACAAGGATCTTTCACAATGGTCAAAATCTCATTTCTCAACAAGGTGCAAGTCAGATATGCTCCTTAGTGAGAATTTTAGCAAAGTAAAATAAAAAAATTATATTGATTTTTTTGTTTAATCTAGTTGACTAATGGTATATTTTTTCTTTGTTAAGATGATTTTTGAAGCAAGGGACAAACCAATTTTGACCATGATGGATATGAAAAGATAAAAAAAAATGCTAAGAATTGCTATAAAGAAGGAATCTGCTGAAAAGATTATAGCCCAACTTTGTCATAAAATTCAGAAGAAAGTTGACATTGCAATTGTGCAATCTATAAGGTAATTTGGTTAGTATTGTTTTTTAATTAACTTGTTTATACTAGAAGAATGATACCTTTAGTATTAGTTGTGCATTCTATTAGGTGTTGGCCTAAACATGCATGGGCACATAAATATGAGGTCTCTGCTGGATTTGAATATTAGCATGTTGTAAACCTAGAATCTCATTCATGTTCTTGTAGAAAATGGAACCTTACATGTATAATTAATTTACTTCACAATTTTTTTAATTTTTACCATGTACATGTAGCGGGTCACTTGGTTAATGTTTTTAGGCATACCTTGTATACATGATGCATATGTCAGTCTCATGAATCAAGAGAGCCTTGAACTATATGTTAGTAGTTTCCACTCAAAAGAGACTCAATTTAACATATATTCACATATGGCCAGTCTACTAAGAGGTCCAAAACAGTGGGCTCACCTTACTACAAATGAGCCTATCTTACCCCTAGAATTAGAAGGCCGGTGGGTAGACCTAAAAAGAACATAACAAAAGAAGCTGATGAACCATAGACATCAACTGGAAGAATGGGCAGAAAAGGTATTGTACGAATAACATGCAAAAAATGTGGTCTTCAAGGCCACAATAAAAGGTCTTATATAGGACAATTTGGTGGCAACACACCTGTTATACCAATAAGAAGAGGTGTTAGAAACAAGGAGCATGCCTTATCAGTAAAGCTCTACCAATCAACACCATCAAATGAGTCAAGAACAAGGATCAGGCACTATAATAAGGTGGATGATGTCTTCTCAACAAAGCTCCACCAACCATCCTCAAGTCCAAGTTGGTGGAAGCACACATGTTACAGCAACCAAAGTTGCTAAAATACCTTAAGTTCATTAACAATTAATTTTGGTGTTGTGTATTTTATTGTCAGTTAATTTACAGAACTTTTACACTCCAGATCAAGAGACCATTAGCAACTCCAAGCCAGCACCACTAAGTGACTCAAACACAAGGATCAGACATGACAATGAAGTGGATGATGCCTTCTCAGTAGAGGTCTCTCACCCAACCTCAAATAAAAGATTCTACTTCAAAGAGGCCTAGGTGGAACTGAAGATGAGCCTGCTTCAAAGATATTACTTCAACCTTTTGTGATAACCATTTTGTGTGTGAAGTACATATGTAGTTTTTTGAACATACGAATTGTTGTAAATAATGCATCGTTTTGTTCAATTTCTCAAAATATATGGTAGGAATATTTTGAGAAGTTGAACATATTGTGTGTCAAACAGGATCGAAGGTTGTTATTTTGAGAGGTTGCACTTATTTTGAGAGGTTGAACATATTTTGTGTCAAACAGGATTGAAGGTTGTTATTGACATATGTATGAACATACAACCAAATTAATGAATACATCATTTTGTTCAATTATTTTTGTAATTTTATTTTGTAAAATTGTTAAACCCTTATCATAACATAACATAACATAACATAACATAACATAACATAACATAACATAACATAACATAACATAACATAACATAACAACATAACATAACATAAACATAACATAACAACATAACATAACATAACATAACATAACATAACAAACATAACATAACATAACATAACATAACATAACATAACATAACATAACATAACATAACATAACATACATAACATAACATAACATAACATAACATAACATAACATAACATAACATAACATAACTAACATAACATACATAACATAACATAACATAACATAACATAACATAACATACATAACATAACATAACATACATAACATAACATAACATAACATACATAACATACATAACATAACATAACACATAACATAACATAACATAACATAACATAACAACATAACATAACATAACATAACATAACATAACATAACATAACATAACATAACATAACATAACATAACATAACATAACATAACATAACATAACATAACATAACATAACATAACATAACATAACATAACATAACATAACATAACATAACATAACATAACATAACATAACATAACATACATAACATAACTAACATAACATAACATAACATAACATAACATAACATAACATAACATAACATAACATAACATAACATAACATAACATAACATAACATAACATACATATCTATAAAATAACAGAACATTAACATCATTACCATCAAAATCTATATCATTAACATCAAAATAACAAAACATTTACATAAGATCATGCTAATCTTCATCTTTTCATTAACATCAAAATAACAATCCAATAACATTAACACTGACATTAAGAAATCTACAAAAGATCATGCTAATCTTCATCTTTTCATTAACATTGACATTAAGAAATCCACAAAATACTATCAACATCATTAACCATTTTCAACCTCCAACATCATAAGCTACCAAAAATCATCATCCAACTTCAATACCCATCTATTGCATAAGCTATAATAAAAAATCTTCTTTAACCTTCATCCACATAAAATGAAGGTGAGCAGAACATAACATATAAAATGAAATGGTATTTTAATAATATTCTTTCGTATGTGTAGTTTATTCCATATGAAATTATATTATAAATTATTATTATTATTGGTATTATTATCAGTATAATTATTATTATTTAAATATTTTAAAAAATAAGAAATAAGTTTTTTTCTAAACTTTAGTTATTATATTTTATCTATTATCAAATTCATTTATTCAATGAAAATTGATATATTTGTGTAAATTTTAAAAAATCTTGAAAAAATGGAACTTTCTTAAACAAAGTAATTTCATATAAATATTCATTTAGTGAAATTTCTTAATAAAATCATATATATAATATTTATATTAATTTTTTTAATAACACTGTCTAAAACATTCATGAGATTATGAAATTAGTTGGAAGTGGAGCATTTTAAATACTTTATATAAATAGCATGAATTAAGTAGCCTGCGTAGTAAATGAATTGTTATTCCTGAGGACTCGGGTTCGAGCATCATAGATATCAGGGGTGTGAGTGTTCAATGTTGAAAAGTTGAGAGTTATCTTCGATTAAATAATATATTGTACTTACCCTATATTATTAAAAAATACTATATATAAATAAGCCCTTCGTAAATGACTTTTGATATGTGGATTCGACTCGCCAAAATTAAAATTGTGGCAGATTCTTAACATTTTATTATGATAAATATTAATAATAATTTGAATAGGTGATTTGGATAGGAGATGAATTTTTTTGGTAAATTACATATTTAATACATAAACTATCAATTTTGATCTGTTTAATATTTAAACTTTCAAATTTTTAAAATCATACCTAATATTTAATTTTTGTTTCATTTTAGTACTACAGACACTGGTTTTCATCCGAAATTTTATTTATTTATAATATCATAGGTTTTGAAAGATTTTTTTTGTGTTTTTTTAAAAAATCGTTTTTGAAAACATATATAATATATATATTTTAAAACATTTTGAAAATATATATAATATATAGTTTTTAAAATGTTTTGAAAACTTATATAATATATAGTTTTTAAAACATTTTAAAAATATATATAATATAGAATTTTTAAAATATTTTAAAAAAAATATATATAATATATAGTTTTTAAAACATTTTGAAACTATATATATAATATATAATTTTTAAAACATTTTGAAAAAATATATATAATATATAGTTTTAAAACATTTTGAAAACTTATATATAATACATAGTTTTTAAAACATTTTGAAAACTTATATAATATATGATTTTTAAAAGACATTTTGAAAACTTATATAATATATGGTTTTTAAAAAAACATTTTGAAAATATATATAATATATAATTTTTAAAACATTTTGAAAACTATATAATATATAGTTTTGAAAACGTTTTTAAAAAAATATATAATATAGAGTTTTTAAATAATTTTGAAAATACATATATTATAGTTTTTTGAAAATATTATATATATATATAATGTATTATTATTATTTGTTTTTTATTATTTTATTAATTTTTTTTATGTCCAAAAAGGGTCCAAAACAGGGCCTACGTGACCTAACAGGCCAAGGACGGGTAAAGTCCAACAACTCGAGCCCAACTGCCTGACCCAACAGTGGCTAGGGTTACATGGTTAGCCAGGCGCCGCAAAAGCAGCGCGCGTAGCGGCCTCGCACCAACAGCCAACAGAGCCAAGCGCGAAATGGTTGGACGATATCCCGGGACTGACCCATCCCGGGATGAACGGTCATATGAACGGCCGAACGGCTCGATAATAGCGAAACAACCAGTTGAGGGCGGAAATAACGAGCACCGATGGTGGGGTATAAATACCACACCAAATCTGTCAGCAAGAGAAAAACGGAAAACAACACAACCAACAGTGGAACACAAGACCACAAAACAACCAAGATCTGAATACCAACAATAACACAACGATTCAACATGAAAAAAAACGAGGGAATCGAACATCAAACAACAAAACAAGTAACAGTCAATCGAAACCGAAAATAACTACACCAAAAACGTAAAAAAAACCATAAAAGGCAAGGCTTTGCCTCATCAAGGGTCGGCAAGAACATCGGGAGCATGGAGTAACCCCATCGAAAGGAAAAAGACACCGATAAGTGGAAAAGTCACCGAAAAAGGGTGAGAACCGAATGATTCTTTTTTAGATCTACGATTATTGGGGTTTATTTTAGAGATTTGGGGCTCGATTTTGGGTTTACGGGGTATAGAGGAGCATTTGGGGAGAGTTTTGATTTTTTCGGTCGCCGCTCGGTCGGTGGCATTTGTGCGATGGTTAGTCACCTGAGTGATGGTCGGGTTTCTACCGGATGAGAGAGAGAATGAGAGGGTTAGAGAGAAGGGAGAGGATTTGAGAATTCAGAAATGAGGGGAACGATATTTTTTTGTGATTTGAGGGGTATTTATAGGGGGCCACTGTGAAATTAACCAATAGTTAAATTATTTTCGCAATCCCTGTACTTTTGAAGTGTAATTCATTTTGGTCATCTGTTTTAATTTTGTCTCTGAATTCTCAATTTATTCAATTTAATGTTTGTTTATACTTTTTATATTTTGCAATTTAACCCCTCTAACTCTTTATTTTTCTCTTGCAGCTCATGTTTAGTACCAATTTAATCATTTAATTTCAATTTGTTTTAATTCGATCCTCTAAATCTTTATTTTATTATTCTTTTTTATTTTTTAAAAATTATTATTATTTTTTACTTCATATTGTTTTCATTTTATTACTTTTAAAATTTAACTCTTTTATTTTATTTTTCCCTTTGATTGATTGATTTATTTATTTTTATTTTCCTTTGATTTATTATTATTTTTATTTATTATTTTTTTATTTTATTTTTTTCCTTTGATTTATTTATTATTTTTATCTAACATTTTGACCTTTTTTTAGAGGAATTTCAACCAATCAAATGTAAGTAATTTGAATCGGGTTTTTAAATTTTAATTTAATTTTTTTTATTTTTCGCAATTAAGACAACTGATAACTAATTGGTACCGAAAGGACAATACAAGGGTGCTAATCATTCCTTGACTGTAACCGACTCCCGAACCCGAAACATTTCTGGTAAAATGAAGATCAGGTAAGATAGTGTTTGATCAACCTAAATGTTTTTAAAATGATTTGTGGCGACTCTAACCCACTTATTTAAGTCGAAGCCCAATTCAGGACCTATCCGAAAGACGACCGCGACAAGTACTCCCCGTTAAAAAATAACGGATGGGCTGACGGTATATAGATCTAGTGGACAAACAACCAATTTGAATGGTGGACTAAGAGAGAATGATGAGTTGACCAACATAGTCCAATTTCAGGCCCATCAAACGGTTGATGATGAATATAAGAGGATGAAGAAGTTGAAGAACCAATTGTTGATTTGGAGAGATTTAGACATTTTTTGGTGAAACGGTGGTCCAAATCACGTTCAGGGAATTGAAAAGGTGTTGGTCGAAAGTTTGAGCTTCATCTGTCAACAGATGCGACAATCGATGATTGTGGTCCACCTTATAAATAATGGTCCACCTTACTTTTAAAAAGTAATTTTGACATACGATGTAAAAATATATTTTTAAAAAATGCAATTTAAAATTTAATTGTCTTTATTATTAAAAAATGCTTTTAGAAACATAAAATATAAATTTTAGACATTATATTATAAATTAAAATTAAATAACTGAGGATAAAAATATAATTTCATCCCATAAACAATCACAATAAAAAGCTAAAAATTTAAGCTTTTAATGTTATGTGAAAAATCACTTTTTCAACCATTATTTTAAATCAAATTTTAAGTGTTCAACGTTGTTACGGGGTGACAATTCATTTTTCTATTATAAGAAACATTCTCAAACTGGTCCTAAATGAAAAATACTGAGGACCAATTTTGTATTACTTTTGAAATCAACTTAAAAAGTGTTGCAAAATATAATTTTAAAAAGTATTTTTGAAAATCACATTTTAAAATTTAACTATTTAGAATTTCAGTTAAAAACTGATTTTCAAAATATAAAATGTTAATTTTAGATATTATGTTGTAAATTGAAGATATAATATTTAAATTATATTTATATTTATATTTATTAATACTATAATAATTGAAATATATCAACTTAAACTATAATAAAAGTATAAAAAATATTTTATGATAATTCATTAATAATATATGAAATATTCTATTAAGAAAAATCAGCTATCAACACTTTTTAATATGTGAACTTAAAATTATTACGAAATAATAATTTATATGCTTGTTTTTAATAATAAAATAATATATATACTTACAATATTTTTTTTTATAAAAAGAACTCTATCAACTTATATGTAACAATCAATTTGAACATTAATAAAAAATAAATAAAAAATAATTATACTTGTATTTGTATTAATTTAAAAACTAATTACAATTTAAATAAACAATTAAAGATAAAAATATAATTTTAACCAAACTAGCCAAACCTTTTCTTAAGGGAAACCACTTAATTAATTTTTTTTTTTGGATTAATATAGGATAAATACAAGATAGTTGTTTAAAAATAACTTTTAATCATTTGACATTAAACACTAACACACTTGACATTTTTAGTGCTCAACCCAAGACTTCAAAGAATAACAACAATTTTTTTATCACCAAAGTTGCTCGGTTTGTACAACTAATTTTAATATAATATAAACTTTTTAAATCAATATAAAACTTTTTGAATTTTATTAGTGGATCCGTCCTCTTTGATGTAAAATGAAATTAAAAGAATGAATCTTATTTTAATCCAAGTATACTTTGATCGTAGAATCTGAAAACAAATATATATTTTAAAACATAATTCATAAAATAACCCAAAAAAAAAGACAGAAGATAAAGATTGTAAATCAAAGGAACATAAAACTAATCTCTTTACACAACAATACAACACACTAAGCCGTTCTGAAATGTCGAGCAATATTGAGCAAAAGCAGCAACAAAGCAGATAGCAGCAAACTTATGGGACTCAACTGGTTTGAATGTGATGGCAGTGGTGACGGTGTAGGGCTTGGAGTTCCAACTGCAGTAGCATTTTCCTTCGTGCATGCATAATTGCACGACTCGATAAACTCCACGTCTGGTTAGCAAGTAGATGTCTTTGCTTTTGTCCTCACCAAAAGAGAGAATGTAACCCAATGCTGCAGTATCACTTCCTGGCACATTGCTGCATTGTAAAGGAGTCTCTTGCACAACCGAATCGAACTTTGCTCGTCAAAAAGTTTTCGCTGTTTTTCGGGTCTTCAGTTGCTGCCCATATTGCACCAGAATAAAAATCTGCATACAGGTATCTTTGAAAACACACTCAATCATTAGCAAGAACTAATTCGAGATAACGAGGGCAAACGTTGTCATCCGTATGCAAAAATCTACTCCTTTTCTTACCTTCCATACATACAAGGATCGGGTTTGGACCTATAATTGAGGCTGATCCTATTTTCTTGTTTACTTCAGAGTGATTGTATCCCATAACTGGGAAAATGGGGTTTATGGAGTTCGCAGATGTGTTCCCTCCAGGTGATGATGTAGGATTAAAACGACTCATAGACACGCCAACCGTAATTTCCGCCTTTGCTGATGATGTCAACCTCTTCGTACAAATCCTTTAGATTCCATAAACTTCGAAATATCAGCACTGGAAAAAATATTCTCAACTCGGAATTTGATCTAGCATATTACGCGCCCTGCATTTTAGTTGCATCTCATTGAAACAAAGACACTGGTGATAGTAACCAAATAGAACATGATATCAACAGACAAAAGGTTAAAGCCAAAGACACCGTTGGAACTTCGAAATGGTCTGATATCAAATTTCTAAGAATAACAACCAGGCAGGATTGACTAATTAGTTTTCTGTCCATAGTCAGAAGAGCAGAGTCAAACCTCGCCGACGTCGCCACACACAAAACAGGAAGGCCTCTCTGAATCGAAACTGCAGCGCCAAGGATTTCTGAATCCAAGAGCCCATATTTCAGGCAGCAAGTCTGAGTCTACGCTAAATGGATTGTCTCTGGGGATGGAGTAGTTTCCCCATAGACCAAGGCTATTAATCTCTGCTGCACCTGGAACAGCATATCGAGTGTCAGATGAAATGAATGCCATATAGACAAAGTTCTTGAAACATTTTTATTGAATTAAAATTGCAGGTGTAAATGGATCGAAACTGGCTCGCACTTGGTATATTATCTACATCAGGCCTCATGATTTTGCGAAGAACTGATTTCTTGTTTTGAGCGAAATTGTTCGGGTCACCATCACCACCATCCCCCATCATAAAGTATAGATACCCATCTGTAGGTCCAAAAATAATCTGTCCCACATGTTAAGAAGTATAAGGAAGTCCCATAGTGAATATCCTTCTCACTTCTGATGGCCTAGTATTTGCTGCCTGCAAAAGGGTTTAATTCATTTAGAATATTGGATCTAAAAAGAAGCTTCAAGTGCATAAAGATGTGTACCGAGGAAGGCTGAACTGAAGAACCGTTGGCAATATATTCCGCAACAACACTTCGATACTGACATGACTGAGCACCATTGTCTGTACCAAGCTTTGAGGGATCACAGTTCACATCCAAGTTACAAGAATATCTTCCGGTGTATCCTGGAGATTTACCCTTGTCGCAATTGAATGAAGCAAAGAATCGGCCATTCTGTGCGAAGTTAGGATGAAATGCAATCCCCATCATCCCAAATGCAGTATCAAAATGAACTTCATCAGTAAGATCTATGAAGGGGTTGGATTCATCAAGTTCCAATGCTCCTCTCGATCCCACTTCGGGAATAGTTGCCAACCAAATCTTACCTTGTTGATTGGAGAAGAACGCACGGTTTGATCATTCGGGGTGAGCAGCCATATCCAAGTAACTCCCATTCCCAATTTTCCCAAGGCATGAACGATGTCGAGCACTAGGAGTTCCACTGTTCCAGTCTCATTTAGTTTAATGGGTTCGCCATCATAGCAAACTGATCCATTAGTTGTTGCTCCACCAAAAGCATTGCAGAAATCTGTTTTGGACTGCCAAAGTTTAGTCAATTTGGTGAAGTTCGAATTGACAGGTGCTCCAGCTTGCCCTTGCAATGAAGGTGCAAAGGGGGAATTCAACATGGATGCATTTTGACATGTATCCCACACATTAGAGAAGAAACCACTTGTTGCTTGGTTCGACTGAGATGAATTTGTTGAAACTGTAGCGTTGCAAAATAGAGGCACCCGTCGAGGCACGGAATCAACTGTGAACAAATTTGCTGAAAATGGATCACATCTCTGAAAATCATAAAAAGGATGTAAACTCAGAAAAATCTTTTCTGGACTGAATAGAGAGCCTCAATTCAAGCTCATTAAAGAAGTTTCCTTTAAGCATATTCGATCCCAGTGATGAGGAACCAGAACGAGTTACCAGTTGAATTATCGTAGTATTGTTTTTTCTTTAACATTACGCTAAAAAAATTCATCTATTTCTACTGGGAAAATTAGAAGCTTCTATTGGTTTGATTGTGCACTTGTAGATTCATTTTTCTCATCTTTCACATTATTAGAGCCCAAGTAACAGTAATCTACATTAATTAGACAGCAGTACAAGCTTCAGATACAGTAATCATCACCTCATCAAGAGGGGAAAATGAAGAATGTACGAACCTTTCACAAACACTCTGGTTACATGAATTATCACCCCGATAAAAGATTAATAGTTTCGCGATTTGCGAGTAACTGAAAATACTACAGCGTCAACTAAAAATTCCCTTATGAAGTTGTAAGCACATGCAGTCTATCAAGAACTCAACAGGAAAACACTAACACAAAAATTTCCATTTCAGTTGTGCATGAAGGATGAAACAAAATGATTAGGTAGGAGATTTCAAGCCTATATCAACAGCCACACACTAGCAAACAATGAATGTTTAAATGAAAACTCATATTCCAATTCTCAAAAAGAATCATTGATTTATTCTAGATGACTGCAAAAAAATCTAATGAATCAAGTGTAAACAATAAAAGAGATGAAGTCTTACTACACAGAGGACTGATTGCAGAAGTGAGGCACAGCCAGAATCAGAGATATTCATAGCTTGAAATTGCGTTTGCAATTGTGAATCTTGAGTGGAGTTGCAGCAGTTGCTTCCATTGTAGGAACAGAATTTCAATGGAGTCTTCAAGGTGATAGGCGCCTCTACATCAAGAGAAAAAAAAAGCCCAGGAAGACACGTTAATAAACAAATAGAAAATCAGTCTATGAAATCGAAACAAACAAGTATGAACTAACTCACCTGAATTTGTGCACAAAGGAAAAGAAGTGGAGGGATAAAGAAGCAACAGCAAGTTGAAGAAGATGAACACAAGATTAAGGGCAGAAACACGTTTCATTGAACCAAATTGAAAGAGAAATTTAGCCATTGATATGACACCCTTTGTTTTATCTACGCTTCAAAGCATCTCTGATTGGGGGGTGGGGGGGGAAAGAAAGCCACTGAAGTTGACTTCAGCTACAAAACATGTTATCAACTTCATACACAATAAAGGGTTTTCTTCCTGTCTGGCATCTCAACATTCTTCCCACTTACCCATCGATTCATATATCAAATCTATTTGACTCAGCTTTCTGAAAGATATTGGCTTTTTTTTTCCTCTCGAAAAATCATTGCGATCTCTTATTCTACTTCAACGGGAGTATTTTTTTTAACGAAATCCATTGATTATTTATTAGGGTAAACTACACGTTTACTACTTTAACTATAACTTTTATTCTGGTTTGGTCATTCAGTTATCTTTTCTTTCCAAAATCATACACATGTAACGTTATGTTTTGGTTTTATTTTAGTTATCCATCACTAAAATGGATAGGACTACTAACATGATATTTTTATTTTTAATGATGACATGACATTATCTTATGTGACAAATCAGCACCACCTTTAATTTTTTAACGACAGATGAAGTCAAAATTAAATATTGAGTATGATTTAAGAAAAAAATAATTGATTGATCAAAATGAAACAACAATAATAATTAAGATACTAAACATATAGTTTACCTATATATTTATTTATTTCATTGATTATCAAAACTACTCTTCTCGAGGAATAAGCTAGATTTTAACTTTTTTGTCTTACTTTACTGTTCTTGTGAAAACAAGTTTTTGACATTTTGTAACTTGAAAACGTTGAATATCATGAATTCATTATCAGTAGCTTTCGATCCGATCCTGGGGACATGTATGCTTTAGTTGACTTTTCTTCAAGCTTTTTGTTTGAGAGATCAAAGACAGTGGGTGAGACTTTTAAGGTAAATTTAGTTTCCACGTATTTAAGTTTTATTTATTTTAAAATCATATTTAACATTTAATTAATATCTCTAATTTAATAATAATATTAATATATCATCAGAAGATAATAACTATATCACATCAATAATTCTGTTTATATTTTAATGGTAGAGTATCAAATTAAAATTTAAACTCTACATTAGATATATTTTGAAAAAAATAAAATTTAAGTATCAAAATAAAAATACAAGTAATGTTTAAGTATTAAACGTATAGTTTAACGATTAGTTGTTTTTTACACTTATAGTTGCTGACCTAACCAACAAGTCGACAATGTTTTGAAATCGTTCTTATCATCCACTATTCAGAAAATAAATTAAAATGGAAAAATACACCGAAGGGATGACGTCAAAACTACAAGAATCGAACAAAGAAATAATTAGACTTTTGCATGATAATAAAATAAAGAGTTGCATTTAAGATGAACACGAATAGATGTTGAGAACTGCAATATTAATCTTATTCCGAATATTGGATTGTTTTTATTAAGTATAATTATTCTACAGTTAACGAGTAAATGATCACTCACTACTAATGACGAGAACTATTAATTTAACTCATAAAAAATTAAATTTTAAAAGATTAAACGTATAATTATAAATTAGTTAAAAATTTAAAAATAAAATATTTAAAATAAATGTTAAACTATATCAGTGACTACCTAATTATTGTCTCTTTTTTTATTTTGACAAATATTTTTGAAATTTTGTCAATCAGGTTACTCAACTATTTAAATGCATTCAATTAAGTCACTTGTCGTTAATATTTAACGGAGAAATTAATGTTGCAGTTAAAATATTTGATATAATTACACTTTTGGTCACTGTTACTTATATATTTTATGAATGTGGTCATAATTTTAATAAATTAAAATAAACTTAACACTCAAATCTTTAATTTTAAAATATTTTAAAAGTTACAACATCTTCCATATTTATAACAAAACAAAAACTATGTTCCTTAGACGCTTCATATATTTGTTGAAATATTCGTATTTGATATGTTCTGTGGGCAATTAAATTAATTTATGTTCATAGGATTATATTATGTTCTAGTAAGATAAGTTGTAATTAGAGTTTATATTTTATTCTATTCAGGCGAACTGTAATCAAGTTTGAATAGCGACTGATTCAATTTCGAGTTTGATTTTGAAACTTGGTTTGAGTTTCAATTCCTTTAATAAGTTTGGCTCGGTAATTGCACTCCTAATTGTAACAATTTTCTTCTTGAAAATTTGTGACATGCATGTAGATTTATGTGACAATTGTGCTTAGGTTGCACAATAATTATTGGTAATTAAATTAATTCATTGACGGGATGTTTCTGAGAATCATAAATGAAATTTTTAGTAAAAAATGTTTTGTTATAAATATAGAATATGTCGTAATTTTTAAAATATTTTAAAATTAAAGATTTGAGGGTTAAATTTATTTTAGTTTATTAAAATTAGGATTGATAGAATATATAAGTAACAATGACCAAATGTGTAATTATACCAAATATTTTAACTGCCACATTAGTTTCTCCTTCAAATATTAGTGGTAAGTGGCTTAATTGAATGCATTTAAATAGTTGAGTGCCCTGGCTGACAAATTTTAAAAATATTGGTCAAAATGAAA